ATTACTCCGATTTGATGTTCATCCCAGCTACCCTCATTTTAATCGTCAAAAAAATCTCTTGCATATTGGTTCCCCATTGGTATATTATTCTCTTCAAAGTTTCTGTAATTATTCCAGTAAGGGATCCTTCCTCCTCTTCTCCAGGGCCTTCCTCAGAATCGCCTTTGGAATGTTGGGAATTCAGTATTCGATCCTTTATCGTATGAAAGTCTCTCGAAGACATCATTACTCTGAAGTTTGCCTCTTCCTCCTCGAGAAGAATACATCTCTCTTCTAACCCAGTGTCTTTGATTTCTACTAACACCAGAACCAACATATTTCTGTTGACTTTCCCCTATCATTGGTTGGGCTGTTTGATCCACTTTGTCATTACCTCTTTTATTTTGATTCTCGATTTCCTTTATCTGTTCCACTCTGAAAGCTCTAGCAGCTGACTTGTCGAACACCGCACTTGCATCGTGGACACAACGACACATCTTCATCTTTTTCTTTCTTTACGTTTCAAAAACTCGATGAGAGAATCTCATGTTCGAGGATAGATCTCCCTCTCGAATTCTTTCTCGAATTCACTCGAGTCGAACTCCATATCTTCTTCGGGTACATCCATTCGACATGCTTGGGATCAATGTCTTCGATAACATCGACCATGCCTATAAAAGCCGAATTTGTCACCGGACATCTTCGGTCATGCCCGTTTGGGATTCAATATACCCCACTTGAACCTCGAATGGACTCGTGTCCACTTTCATTGGCATCTCTTCGAACTTTAGTCTTCCTTGGTCGATCGCATCTTGGATCGTATTCTCGAAATGTATACAATTGTTAGTCCGAGTGTCCATAAACATTATGAAATTTGCAGTATTTTTGATTATTCCTTTGTTACTGAGAAGGCGGTTTATGATCATCACTCAACTTAATGCTGTTTATCTTTTAATAGAATATCGAAGATCTTATCATGCCTTCGTTACATCGAAAGTATATGTTCGATTTGTCATTTTGTCTTTTACTTCATTTTTTTGTAGTAATTTACGAGATATATGGAGCTCCTACTTTGAGCTCTGCTATGTTAACTTTCTCATCGACAATTTCTCCAATATTAGTTTCTGTCGAGGGATATGTCTCATACACATCATTTACATATGCTACTCTTTCTTTTTTCATGGGTTTTTCAAATTTCTTATACCTTTGTTTTTCATATTCAATTTGTTCTACTCTTCTCACTTTATCAGCTAATTGAGCCATGTCATTCAATGGTAAATTAACTAACTTCTTCCTAATTGAGAATTCTAAGCTGCGAGAGGCCATTCGACTAATTCATATTCGGGAATTTGAGTAAAACATCTCAATTTCATTTGTCTAAATCTATTCAAATAATCATCTATACTTTCATGATTGTATCTTTTTATGTTCATCAAATCGATGAGGCTTACTTGAGTCTCTCCTCTAAAGAATTGCTCATGAAAATTTCTTTCCAGCTGTAACCAATTATATATCGAATTGGGCGGCAGCGAAGTAAACCAAGTGAAAACATTTTTAGTCAATGAACTAAGAAAATATTTCATTTTTAATTCTTCACTCATCGTTAAATCCCCACATTCGATCTAATATCGAGCCACGTGCTCGATAGTGGATTCACCGATTTCTCCAGCAAATTTGGTGAATTTGTGTATTTTGTATCCTCGAGGTAATTCTGTCTCGAGAATAACATTCGAAAAAGGAGAAACAAAATACGTTTGATTAGGTGTTCTTAACTCCATTCCTTGGGAATTCACCCTTTGTCCTAACATGTGATTATACTGCATATTATTTTGATTGTACATATTTTGAAATCCCTCATTCAGATTCCCATAAATATCATTCCTCACATGTTGATATTCGTTCCCCATATGCTGATGTTGATCATTGTTTCGATTCCTCCTCAATAGATACGGGGGATTGATGTTAGCACTTTGGTTAATGCTTTGATTGATATGATTTTCCACTATTGTTTGTCAAGGTATAGTCGATGCATCCCCGATACGAGTCATTTGGTCTGCTAATATCTCAAAACTAGCAGTAGTGTTTTGAACTAATGGATTGAAGACTGTAGTCAATTGTTGTGATAACATATTCACCATCTCAAAATTGCTCTCATCCATTTGTTGTCTAAGTACTCCTAGTGAGTTGCTGGAGATCCCAGTACTAGTATTTTCAATAGTCTCAAAATTATATCGATGATAATCTCTATCGAATGCATTTCTCCCATGATCCAGATTTGCTCCGTGATCTAGATTTGGAGGTATCTCGTTGTGTACCTAAATTACGCCCACTCCCTGAATTTTGGGGGTTACTAAATTTTGAGATCCTAAATTCGGAGAGACTCAGAAATTTTGCGGCATACCTAGAGTTTGAAAGGTACCGAGTTACGAGGCATTCCTAGGTTAAATCTCGAGTTTCGTTGTATCGAAGAGGTACCGGCCCCATTCATATTAAGCGAAAACCCGGGTGGTCTTACGCTCATATATGGCCCGACATTTGTTGTTATGGGGTTTCCCATAGTTTGCATATTGTTTGGTATCACAGTACTAGATCGTACTTGGGTGTTTGCTAATGTGCCTGCATTTTGTTCATTACTCACAGGTATCGACGTACTCACGGTTGTCGATATTACAGACATATTCCCATTATAACTTTGCCCCCTAGTATTTGGTGGATGTGCACCATTTAGACCCTCACTGTTACTCTGATTATTTGGTGGATTCTGATTCATTCTTATAACTCGCCCACTCCTTAATCTCATATACTTTCAAACTAACCAATTTTGTGTATTTTCAACACAAGAACCCCTATCTGGCCCGCCAATTTGTTTCTGGTGGAATTTCGATCGATTCCGATTCTTAAGAGGTTTTGATTATAATCAAAATTCAACCACGCAAGTTCTTTTTTACTTAGGCTAGCAAATTGATTTTCAATTGAAATGCATATGAGAATCGAAGTTTACATAGTATCGAAAATGTTGTTTTTGGTATTTTATGTTTAGAGTGTTCAAAGTAAAAAAAGCAATAGAAGCGTCGAATCGAAAAGCAAAACAGAAAATTGAATTGCCAAGAGGTAAAAATGCAGAAACCTTAAATTTGCATTAAATGACAAGAAATTAGAGTAGCGAGAATGGAAATGACAGGAAATCGAGATTGCAGAAAATATAACTGGCAGGAAATCAAAATATGCAAAAAATGTAAATAGCAAGAAATCGAGATTACAGAAATGTAAATAACAAGAAATCGAGATTACAGAAATGTAAATGACAAGAAGCTTAAATGCGGAAACTTAACTTTCATTAAAGGAAATGACAAGGAATCGAAAGTACAGAAACTTAAAGTTGCTAAAGATAAATTGCATCAAATTAGATTACCAGGGAAAATAAAGAAAGCGGTAAAGGTACTCAATGAGCATGGAAATCCAGATCGCCAGAAACTTCATGATGTTCGTCGTTTTCCGGTAGACTTCTCACTAGTATTTCTGTTCTCTGCCAATTTTTCCACCCTCCTTTTCCTTTTCATCTTTTGCTCTATTTATAGATCATCTTTCAAGTAGTCTCTTAGGAGCAGTTAACAAAACTGCTACCACGTTCTTCGTGCGTGTTGCGGTTTCTTTTCCTGTGGTGTTAAAACCGCACCCACGTTCCCATGATCTTCTACCTCTGCCACGGTTAAAAAACTGCTTCTTATCTGCGTGTGTAACTATTCTTCTCTTTATGATTTGACCAAGGTTTCGATATCCTCATAAGTTAATCTTCCCCTCAATTTCGATTTTAAGATCTCGAGAACTTTGAATTGCTTTCGATTCCTTTTAACCTTAACGTCATATACTTCTAATTTCTTGGTTTTTATTCGACAATAGACATTTAACTATTATTCCTTCGATTCTTGATTCTACCTCTCGATTTTATGTGTCACGCACTTCTAATTGAACATCGAATGGTTTCTCATCCATCTTTTCGATTTATCAATAAATCACATGTTTCTCGATTTTTCTTTCCTTCGTTTTTCGATCACTTTTCTCGATTTTCCACTAACAGGACTATTATGCATTCAGTTTTTCTTTATAAGTAATCTAAATCAAATCGAACTACTAATTAAAAACAAAGCAGATCACATCACAAGCGGGAATTGTGCGTGCAGGGAAGAACAGTCCATTGAAGTGTTCATTCGATGAATGAATATGTTTATTTTGAAGATAATTTGAAAAAAATAAAATCCAAAAAATGCATAATGACACTTTTCATGCAGGTAAAATCCCACAACATTGACATGATGATACCGTTCTGCATAATCACTTAATCAAATTGGTTAAATCACAAAGAAATCGAAAAGATAGATTGAAAAAAGAGCAATGGTTTTCGATTAGAACCATCATATTTATGCTTTAAAATCGTTTTAGATCAAATAAACCTGTTAAATAAAATAATATAATTAATTAGTTATATTGAACTGCTAATTTATGTTTTAAATAAAGTGAATACTTTTTACTTTTGTTCCCCTAATTATTAACCCTAGACAGTATAAGACATAATGTTAGCATTTTTAAAATTTATCAAATAATCAATATCCTTTTAAAAAAATAGATAATGTCAGAAAATATTATTTCTACTCCATTGTATTCACAAAAATCAAATAACAGTCATTACCATAAATACCCACGAGCATAATATTAGTTAGTGAAGTCCTACCAAAAGAAAAGAAATAAATATCAAAATGCTAGTGAATGATTCATAATAATAATAATTAATATATTAAAATTTAAAGTAATATTTATGCAGGTAAAAAAATTATAAAAAATGCGCAAGGCAACTAGAACTAAATAAAGCCACGAATCTTGTTTGGGTTCAAGACAACTTTTATCATCTTAAAACAAGTTGCAAGATCGTTACCCATTGGATGCTTCTCCTATGTTGCCTTGCGATGGTATGAATCACATGTCTTTATTTTTCTGTTGAGGGGAGTGAAGGAAGACCCTCAATTTCACAACGTTTTCTGAGAACTATCAGTTCTTGAGAGTTCACTGTACATATCAGATATTGCTTTTGCGAAATATTCCTTCGCTTGAGGCCTCTTAATCTGAAAAGTTCCACGCACATACACAAAACATGATTTATAGCCACCTTACAGGATAAAATGAAAAACAAAAAATCATAGGATAGGACTCAAAACTTGCCTTGAATGTCGGAGTCAGCAAACCATTTTCCAACGTAAAGGGTTCGATTGTCAAAGTGACCGCTTTTACGAATTCAAAACCTCTAAGCTACAGGGTATCAAACGGATATTTAATATTATTAATTAAAGATTAGACCAAATTATTAGGAAGGAGTAAGTATAATGTAACATAAAAATGAATACCTGAGCATCTCGTCCAGCAGCATCCATCTCAGCTAAGACAGCTGCCTTTGCTCTTGGATCATTGCAAAGTTGTGCTAAATCATTATACTGCACCCATGCCCATGGAACAAAGGAGAATATCAATTAATGTTGCACACTGCTTGGATAAATTACCATCAACTCGTTGCAGCAAAATAAAATTAATTGAGTAAAATAAAGGATTCTACTTTCTAGATTTCAAAATTACGCGGCCCAGTCTAATTTTAAGATTTCACAAAAAAACTTCCCATGTTTTAAACAGCATGATTTTGTCAAACCTCAAAGGATGAAAATGTAATTTATTCAGACTAATTATAGAAGAGCTATCATACAAAGAGCCACATATGATAATGTATATGCAAAGAATGAAAAAACTACAAGATTTATTGCTTATAATTATGCAAAAAGAAAAAAGTTGCAAAACTTAAAGAACTGTGATAAAAACACTTTTTTTTAATTACAAGAACAGAGTCGCAGCAACGAAAAATTATTTGTAGACTTATAGTAATCTGAATCAAAATACATTTCATGTTTCAAGCACAAAGTAAAACCATGTTTTAAGCACTGTCTAGATGGACTTTTAGTACATGCATGACAAACGGGAACAAATATTAAAATAATCTTGAAGTTTGTACTACCATTATGCCTTCTGAAGCTGCCCATGCTTTCAAGATATCATGATCCACCGAGACAACAGCTACCAAAGAAGCATTTAGGCTATCACCTAAAAAAGGAAAAAGAAGCATCAGCAAGCTAGTAAGGAATAAAGTAAGAGAGAGATAAAAAGATCACACACCAAATTTGTGGGTTTATTTATTTCCTTACCATATACAAAGCACTGCGCCACAAACTTGCATTTGGCATATACATTTTCAATCTTCTCAGGAGCAATGTACTCGCCTTGTGCCAACTTAAAGATATTCTTCTTCCTATAACAAAATGCTAAGCTTTAACTCATGCTTGACAATTCAGTCAATCTTGTAAGAACTGGGTTGAGAAAGTAGACAGCAAACTAAGGGTATCATGTTTCAAGCTCATCTTACTGAAGTTAAATATATAATTTATAGAAGTTAAATAGAGGCAGTATGCAGTTATAACTTATAAGTCTTACAGCAACAGAACTCATTGAAAGTTCACACTCTCAAGTGCCATTCAAGTCTATTCATTTAACAGAGCATGTGAATTCAAGGCTAAATAGAAATAAAATCAATCTAATGTGAGGTGGAAAGTTAAGATGCCGTGTGTATCTTATTAATTATGGATTATAATTAGAACTAGAATGGTGCTACCTATCAATAATTTTTAGTCTACCACCAGGTAACCACGTTCCGATATCTCCTGTATGCAGCCACCCGTCTTCATCAATGACTTCTCTCCTGCTCAAATGGATTGAAAATCAAGTAATTCTAAACATGACAAGGTAAATTTCATTCAGAAGAAGCACATAACAGGAAAGGTAATTACGTTTGAGCTTCATCTTTGTGATAACCTTGAAAAACAATGGGACCCCTAACACAAATTTCGCCACGGGGAGTGGGCTGATCTTCAGATGTATAGTTCATTTCTGGAACATCCACAAGTTTTATCTCTGAAACAAAGAACAAAACTCTTGGTACTAGGCATAACAAAGCTATCTAACACAAATAAGTATAATTTCATCTTTTAAATTCTTCCATATAAGGAGAGAGCTAAGTAGAAAGGTTCAAATTGGCTTTTTAGGATTATTACACACAGTATCCCATGCACTTCCAGGGAAAAAAGATAAAAATAAATTAAATAGTAAACACCAATGCAAATAAATTAAACAAAAAAAAAATACAGGGAGAATCATTATTGGTTGGAGAGAATTGGCACAGAATTCAACATGTGTACTGTTTCTGGGCAGATTTTATCTTGACTGAGGTTATTAACTTCCACACTTTCTATCAGGTCCTTTGAATGGTAAAGGTTAGATTGCATTGCACTATAAGAATCCAAGTGAAAACCCATAACAAAAATCCCCTCAGCTCCCCAATAACACGCATAGATAGACTTGCACAATCAGCAGGCGCATCAAAATCAGTCAAGAATTTGACTTTGATGTTTATAAAACAATACACCAAATAAAGAAAACAGCCCATCCCAAAAATTCAGTACCGAGGAACTTTTGAATAACTACAAATGATGGGATGCTGCTGCTAATTTAAAAAAAAAAAAAAAAAGTTTAACCAATTCATAAACAAGTTGATTGGTGCATCACATATTACCTGAAATATAACATCAAACCGTTTTAAATCATGAATTTACTGCAAGCTTTAATAGCCATTTTATGTAGAATTCATACTTAGTACTCACCACAGGCTAGATTAGGAGAGCCAACATGACCACCAAGTGTGTCACCCTCATCTATGCAGCTTATAACACAAGTACTCTCTGTCATTCCATATCCTTCAGTCACCCGACCCCCAAAGCAACTGCAGAATAGGTGCACTTATTATTTAGCAAGGGAAAGTTGATTAAAATTAATAATAATAATAAAAATAATAATAACAATAAGAAGAAGACTGTTCTATTTAGTTAAAGTATACATTAATATTATGCAAAACTTACATCTTTAAAAATTCCATGATATCAGGTGATAAAGGTGAGGCACCTGATGCCATAAACCGAACTCGTCCTCCAAGCTTTTCCTTTATCTTGTTGAAAACTAATCTGTCCCACATTGGAGATGGGTTCTTCCCTGAAACAAATGAAAATATGGGTGTGAAAGTAAGTTTCCTTTTAAAGGATACTGAAACTTTAAGTCCAAATCATAAGTTACAACAACCTTTTAGCCATATCTATATCCTAAGAAAACTCTCCCAGCTGTTTAAAAGATAAAATACAAGTTTTCAGAAAACAAACATCCTACTATTATGGAAAAAAAGATTCATCCCAAGACAAGAAATAAATAAGGAGTCTAAAATCATCAATGAATGAAGGATAGGGGAAAACCAAGCTACAAGTATAATTAGAATCAATATTTAGGGCACAATAGCGATCCAATATCATAAATAAATCAGGAAAAACAAGTATTTAAATGTATGCTACACAAAAGATAGATCATAGTGAATATATTTTACCATGCAATAAAGCCTGCCTTTTAGCATTGTAGGCAGCATTAAATAGTCTCTCCTTCAGGCCACCAGATGTTTTAACAGCATTAATGATACTGTAAAAAAAATCCAATTGAATGGTACAATGAACACATAAGAAGCGAACAAAAGAGCTCTAAAATGAATAACATAAATGTATAATTACTCTACCCGGCATATATTCTGTTATATAGTCGAGGAACACTACAGAAGACAGTAGGTCTTAGAAGGGCTAGGTCATCCATTAATTTCATACTATCCTGCATATGAATGTTAAAATGAAATTTTATGCTAATCTGAGAATATTGCAAAAAATAATGAAATAAAATTACTGTAGTACAATCTACCTTAAACACATCATATAAAGGATCTCTAAAGTATATTACATGACCAGAAAGGACAATAAAAGTCAAGCAGAAAAGGTTGCTATTATTTAGACATTCTACACTTTAGGTTCCATTGTAATCCATGGATGGAACACGAGAATACTATAATAATACTTGACAGAAATCTTTTATGCATCAATGCGGCATTCCGTGAAATGGCAACTATGAAAATGTAAATACTTTGACCTCATAAAATATCATATGGGCTACTTATGCTGCACTTATATTACAACACGTTAATTTTTCATAAAAGTATAAGCTCTTTCAAAATGAGAAGACATAAACCAAATGAAAGAAAGAAAGAAGTTTAATTAGTCAAAGACACACCCCCTGGAAGAATCCCACTGCAATGCCAAAATGTACTGCCATGACCTGGTTTGCTCGCTCATAAATGTGAGCCAAAGGGAGATAGGATATATACCTGAAAATCAAAAGACGGTAGCATAAACTGTTACAGCCAAAAATGGTAATGAACATTGTATGCATTCAAAAAGGACTCACACATCGGAAGGGCCAAATTTCTCATCCATAGTACTCCCAGCAACACTTGCAATGAAGTTTCCATGGGTCAAGACAGCACCCTGACCAGAATTTGTTGAGCAGAAAGAATTAAAAAAAATGTTCGTATATAGCCACTATAAGCAGAGGAAATATTTTAGGGGAGCAGTATATCATAATATCACCAAGAAAAAAGTAAACCACAATTCTACAGGAACCTACGCACTTTTGGGGTTCCAGTTGTACCACTTGTATAGCAAATGGTTGCAATATCATCAGGTTTGGGTGGACAAAAGGGCTGGAGATTGCTGCGTCCCTAAACCAAAACCACAAACAATGAGTTAACAAGCAATTAATATAGCAGCAGATCAAATGAATAGAAACACCATTTACAAAAGGATCTTTAGACTGGTACACCACAATAGTTAGTTAGAAAGAGAAACACATAACAGAAATTGCATTTCCTTACTATTCAGGGAAGCATATAATAATATGAACACACAATGTATATTCTCCATAAAATCAACACTTGTTGACACAGAAAGCAATAAGATTACCTGATTAAGCAACTTTGAATATGTAACAACCTGAACTCCATTTGAGGATGGAACTGATGGAATTTGATCATCCATGCCTCCAACTACCTGCATAAGAACAACAAATCAGCATGACTTACTTTCTAAATGAACATTTAATTTCAAACAAAAGCCATAATGCACACTTACCACAATTAAACGAACAGTTGGAATATCAGACAAGTAGCTCAGCAACTGCAAGGGCAGGTGACATGACACATAAGCTTTTGCAAGAGAAGACAATAAGTTATATAAAGTATGCTAGCAAGATAACTAAAGTAGATATGAACATGGTCCTTAGCTCTTTGTTTTAGCATATCAGAATGATCTACAGAATTTAATCATCTTAGTGTGTTTGGATTAGCTTAATACAACTTAATCATCTTAGTGTGTGTTTGGATTAGCTTAATATTTACACACACATGGTTCACAAGCCATTAAAAGTATACTCAATGCAGAGTATTTGCTTGCACAAATCCATCAAGTTCACACCAAGTTATCAACATGGGTACTCATGATTCTACAATATTCATTATAAGGAACTGAAGGGATATGCTATCTTATGAAGAAGCTCACATATACTATACTTACTACATTTAATGTTTGAGGTACACAAAATATAGCTTGCACGACAGCATGACTAACAATATACTTGACAGCATCAGGACCTACAAAGCAAGCAGTTTCTCACTGTTAAATAATAATGTAAGGCCGAGGTAGATATGATAAAAATTCCTGATAACATACCAAGAGTATCATACAGAGGCACTGATACAAATGAGTAAGCAGAGCAAGCATGATCAACAATGAGCCACTCTGGTCTGTTAATAAAATACAATCCGATACTGGAGCCCTAAGAATGAATGCATAAACCAAGGGTTACATGATGTTTTGTAAAAAAATAACATAATAACCAGCTATAAAACTATAATCCAACATTCACCTTTGGGAGTCCATAATAAATCAAACCAGAACCTATTGCTGACCGGGCAGTACCTGCTTCTCCATAAGTCATCCATTTGTACCTTAAAAAGTGAAGGAATGGTGGCTATGATGAGAAGGATGCTAAGTAAATTTGAATGAAAAAGGAAAGCAGCCCCAAAAAGTGTCATTACTCCCCAACAGTTCCATCCACGCGAACACGTGTTCCCAGATATTTGTAGTCTCGAAAGGTGTCAACTGAGCGCCTAATATTAGCAGAGTTTGACAAAATACATATCAATTTCTTAGGCAAGAAAAATAATTTTTTAATAAAATACAGTTGATTGAGATTACTTATCAATCTTCTGAAGTTCAAAGCTAAGTTTTACATAGATAAAGGAGCGATGCTCACACAAAATTTTCATGTAGGGTACCAATTTCAGGATGATTAGGAAACTTGCTCACCAGCTGCAGAGGAGATCTAACAGATCTTCCAGAAAAAATTGAAAATAATATCAGACTCAGATTTGGCTCCAGAATGATGTTAAAAATAAAGATCAAGAACATCAGAAGAGGTATACCTGTAAACGTTCCATTTTCCTGTTTGTAATTTCTCTGGGAGTACAACACTATACCCTTGTTCTGCTCAGAAGTAAAGATCAAAATTAACGATGACAACTAAAGAAATTGCAAGAAAGTAATGTAATAATGCCGACAAGCATGGGATATGAAAATATTCAGCAGTCAATGCATAAAGAAATTCCTAAGTTATCAGGAAATTTGAAAAAATGTACTACGAATACAATCACCTTTAAGTAACATGATTGAGAGAGAACAGATGACAGTTCTATGAATATGATCACCGTTCAGAAACAGAATGTGTTATGACAAATTCCATTCTGATTTGAGTCCTATCTCCTACCATTGCCTCCAAAAAATGTACAATGATTCTAAATAAAATTCAGAGAGCACTAGGCCAGTCACATCATTAAATTGATACGTAACTATCACAGTTAATTAACAATTAAGTACCAAAATTAGTGATGTGATTGGCCCAGATCACACAACTTGAATGCAGGAAGTCAACATCATGCATGAAAAGTATTGATGCATCATGAACTAAAAGTTTAGCACTACGAAATTCCTAAGTTATCAGGAAATTTGAAAAAATGTACTACGAATATAATCACCTTTAAGTAACATGATTGAGAGAGAACAGATGACAGTTCTATGAATATGATCACCGTTCAGAAACAGAATGTGTTATGACAAATTCCATTCTGATTTGAGTCCTATCTCCTACCATTGCCTCCAAAAAATGTACAATGATTCTAAATAAAATTCAGAGAGCACTAGGCCAGTCACATCATTAAATTGATACGTAACTATCACAGTTAATTAACAATTAAGTACCAAAATTAGTGATGTGATTGGCCCAGATCACACAACTTGAATGCAGGAAGTCAACATCATGCATGAAAAGTATTGATGCATCATGAACTAAAAGTTTAGCACTACGAAATTCCTAAGTTATCAGGAAATTTGAAAAAATGTACTACGAATATAATCACCTTTAAGTAACATGATTGAGAGAGAACAGATGACAGTTCTATGAATATGATCACCGTTCAGAAACAGAATGTGTTATGACAAATTCCATTCTGATTTGAGTCCTATCTCCTACCATTGCCTCCAAAAAATGTACAATGATTCTAAATAAAATTCAGAGAGCACTAGGCCAGTCACATCATTAAATTGATACGTAACTATCACAGTTAATTAACAATTAAGTACCAAAATTAGTGATGTGATTGGCCCAGATCACACAACTTGAATGCAGGAAGTCAACATCATGCATGAAAAGTATTGATGCATCATGAACTAAAAGTTTAGCACTACGCGGTTCAACCTTCACCTAGCTTCCGAGTATATAAGTAAATAGAATTAAAGGGGGAAAAAAAAACCCGCATATAATGAAGTAGAAACTTGGAACTGGTGCATGAACCATTCAGGTTTGTCAAATTCTGAGTGTCATTCAATTGTCGCTCCACCAAAACATTTATAAAAAACTAAAACTCCCCCATACTAAATATTTCTCCATCCATTGAATTTTGATTCCAAAAAAACAAAACGGCCACCATTCTATGCCTTCAATTTTTATTTCTATAGACATGAAAGAAGGAAACACGACCTAATGCTTCCCAAATGCACACAAAATCTAAGATAACAATAAATAGACTTGACTATATTCATTGACAAAATCCTCCAATCAGCTATAAGTACCCCTAGCACAAACAAAAAAGTGATCTTCTCATCCAGTCAGTACTTTTTCCTTTTTCCTCTAATCTTAAATTCAAAAGCGACAACTCACTACTAATGACCAAAAAGAAATATACAGAACACGATCCTAAAGAGAGAAACCAAACATCACTATCATTATCCTAGCCTCGTTCAAGGGAGGTACGGAAGTGCAACATGAGCATCCATGAGAGAAAGGGAGTACCGGAGAAAAACTCGCCGGCAGTGGGGTTGGATCGGAGGTGGGAGGGCGAGTCTTCGGCGGTAGCTGTTAGGTGGCCGTGAATAGCTCGGAGACGACGCTGTGCAGCAGGCGTGTGATCCATGGGATCGAAACGACAATGGAAGAGTGGCGTTTTGGTGAGAGAAAGAGTGCACGCTTGTGTCGTGGCTTACTGTATAGATTATCTGAATGGATGAGAGAAAAATAAGGAGGATGTGGATCATGAACCAGATTAGACGAAACAAACGGCACGCACAAACAGGTTCCGACAACCTTCTCTCTATTTTTTTTATTTCATAATTAAATCATATTGAATCTTTTCATGTTTTCAATTTGAAAATATACAATATTGATTATTATAAAAGTCATATAATTGATTCACAATATATATTTCTAATTGAGAAATTTTTAAGGGCTACAAGAAAAGAAAACGATTGGAGTCAAAGTTTATCAATTTATATATTATCTTTTTCTTTTCTTTTTTTAATATTTTATCTACTCTCTGATCTCCTTTTTGTTGTGAAAAGTAAACGATAAGAATGGAATCTTTCTAAATTCTATCATATTCTGGTTTCAAACTCACACTTTGCAAGAAAAATAAATATTAAATAAAATATGTTTTTATGATTAAATAAAGCAACAATCATTCTTTTTTATTGGTGAACATTAATTAAAAAAAGTCAACTTTTACTATTAATTAACAGTAAAGTGTATTATTTTTCTTTATTATCTTTAATGATAAAAAGAATAATAGTGATAACATGACCTAAACAATCCGGCGGCCATGATTGAAAAAAAAAAAACATGAGAAGGATAAAGAATCAAGACAAAATCGAGCTTTGATATTTTTTTTGTAAGTCTTTTTCATGTTATATAACTATAATATTAACTTATATATAATAAATTATATTGTTGAGATATTGATAATCATAATATCGGACAATATCTTTTTTTATTTTCAGTTATTTCTTTAGATGTATCTCTCTATTATAAATATATTATCTTATGTGTGATTTAGATGTATCTCTCTATTATAAATATATTATTTTATGCGTGATTTATATACATAGGAGATTAATCTTCAACTCTATTTCTTTTATATTCAACATGGTATCTAAAGTTTAAGGTTATTTTAAAATTTTTTTCGCATTTGACCACTATTAGAGTCACCATCACCGCCACTATCGTTGTCAGTTAAACTGATCTTCCGCATAAGAAAAGAGTTACTTTTGTTATTGGATATTATTTGGTAGTGTGAAAGTGCATGTCTAAGAAGGTTCTAACAAGGAAAAAATTGGTATTTAAGCGTGTTCATTAGTGACCAACCTTTTTTTCCTGGGAACTTACCTGGTGTACTGGTTCACGCCGCTGTCACTGTCGCCTCCGCCCTTTATGACTTCTTGCGCTCCTTCTAGTACTTCCAATTCTGTCAGTACTGCGTCTGATCCTTCCATCTACACTAACTATGTTAATGTGCGCTTATCCATTGACAAGTTAACTGGCCCTAATTATGCCACATGGTCATCAGACGTAAGATTATGACTTAAAAGTCAGAAGTATCTTGATCATCTTATCCCGAAAGCAGCTACTCTCACTCCTAGTGAGGAAGATCGTTGGGACACCATTGATGCTCAATTATGTGTGGTTCTCAAGGGTACTATTGATCCTTCGTTAAAACAAATTTTTCGTTCTTACAAAACATGTGCCAAAATCTGGGAACATGTCAAGTTATTATACACCAATGATACTCAACGTCTCTATGATGTTTGTTCTAAATTTGTAGATGTTATTGCCTCTAAACATCAAGATTCTATGACTGATTATATGGGAAAATTCATGTTCTTTTTCATGAGTTCAATGAGTTATTGTCTCCTTCCCCCGACCCTGCCACCGAGATAGCATAACGATCAAAGTTCTTTATGCTAGGGGCATTACACGGACTTGCTGATCAATAATCACATATTCGTGATCAGATTTTGGATTCTCCGGTTGTCCCTACCTTGACATCGACCTACTCCACTCTTTTGCGTGTACTAGCAAAACCCAACCCTGACACACCTACTTCTGTTAATGATTATTCTGCATTGGTATCTAACCGTGATGACCGAACTCGTCCTCACAAACAGGGAAAATGACATCCTAAGTGTGAACATTGTGGCAAGTTAGATCACAAGATTAACCAGTGTTATGCATTACATGAGTGTGAACATTGTGGCAAGCTAGATCATAAGATTGACAAGTGTTATGCATTACATGGTCGTCCTCCTCGATCTGCTGCAGTTGTTCAGACCTGATATTTCCCCACCTTTATCTGTTAAGGATCCTCCTTCTTCTATTTCATCAGACACACCTGCTATGTTCAACAAATTTCTCAAATGGTATAAGGATCAACAGTCTTCTAGTTCCACTGTGTCTGTCGCACACACAGGTACATATTTTGCTGGTCTGACCCAATCTTCTTCTGGTCCTTAGGTTTTTTATTCAAGAGTCACTGATCATATTACTGGTAACAAATTTTTTTTCTCCTCTTTATCCTCTCCTAATCTTTTACTTTCTGTTACACTGGCTGATGGCTCTAGAGTATCATCTCATGGTGTTTGAACTATTAAACTTTTTCTTTCTTTAACCATTGATAATGTTCTTTATGTCCCTAGGTCTCCTTTTAACCTGTTATCCATCAGTCGTCTAACTTGTTCTCTTGATTGTGTTGTTTATTTTACCAATAATTATGTGTGTTTGCAGGACCGAAGTTCGAAATAGGTGATTGGCACAAGATGTGAGTCTCATGGTCTTTATCATCTTCGTCCCTTTACACATATTGGTGCAATTATGGAGTTTATCTCTCTTCTTCATGCTCAGTTAGGTCATCCAAGTCTTGCCAAGTTACAACAGTTTGTCCCTGCCTTATCTAAGTTGTCTAGTTTGACATGTGAGTCGTGTCAATTAGACAAGCATAGTCGTACTTCTTTTCCTCGTAGTGTCACACATGGTGCTTCGTCCCCTTTTGCTGTGGTTCACTCTAACATTTGGGGACCTAGTCGCCTTAAGTCTACTTTAGGTTTTCAATACTTTGTTACTTTCATTGATGATTATTCCATATGTACTTGGTTATTTTTGATGAAAAATCGTTCTGAAGTATTTCATATCTTTCAATCTTTTTTTTTATTGAAATACAAACTTAGTTCGGTGTTTCTATTAGAGTTTTGTGCAGTAATAATGGTCGTGAATATCTTTCTCATTCTTTTAAACAATTCTTGGCTTTTCATGGTATTTTGCATCAAACTTCTTGTGCTTATACACCTCAACAAAATGGTGTAGTTGAACGTAAAAATATACATCTTATTGAAACAACTCGCACTCTTTTAATTCATGGAGAGGTTCCTCAGCATTTTTGGGGTGATGTTCTTCTTACTGCATGATATCTCGTTAATCGCATGTCATCTTCGATTTTAAATAATAAAATACCTCATTCCATTTTATTCCCTCATGAACCATTTCATCCCTTACCTCAAAGAGTTTTCAGGTCTACATGTTTTGTTCATAATTTCAGTTCTGGTCTTGACAAACTTTCTCCTAGATCGCATAAATGTGTTTTCTTAGGGTTTACAAGATCATAAAAATGATACAAATGTTTTTCTCCTTCTCTTAACCGTTATTTTGTGTCTACAGATGTCACCTTTGATGAGTTCTCTTTTTATTTTAAAAGTCAATCTTCACCTCTGTCTCCATCCAATCTTGTCAACACTCCTAGTACATCTAATGTTCCTATTGTTTGTGACCCTCTAATTGTATCTTCTTCACCATTAGTTTTTGCTCCGCAGTCAGCTTCTTCTTCACTGCCTCTTCAGGTTTATAGTTGCCGAAACCAATCACAACCACCACCATGTGACTTCACTCAAGTGTCAACTACTCTGTCTCCTCTGGATGTGACACGTGAGTCTAACCTTCCCATTGCCCTCCGAAAAGGTATTCATTCTACATGTAGTCCCTCTCCCCATTATATTGGTTTGAGTTATCATCGACTGTTATTATCTTTTTATACATGTCTTTCCTCTCTTTCTTTTGTGACCATTCCAAAAATTGTCCGTGAAGCTTTAGCTCATCCTGGTTGGCGTCAGACCATGTTAGATGAACTAAGTGCTCTTTATAATAGTGAAACTTGGGAATTGGTTTCGTTACCGTCTAGGAAATCTGTTGTTGGTTGCATGTGGATTTTTGCTATCAAAGTTGGACCTGATGGTACTATTGATCGCCTCAAAGTTCATCTTGTGGCCAAAAGTTATACTCAAATTTTTGGGTTGGATTATGAAGATACATTTTCTCCCATGGCAAAGATGACTTCTGTTCGTTTATTTATCGTCATGACCGCTCTTTAACAATGACCTTTTTATCAACTAGATGTTAAAAATGTTTTCCTCAATGGTGATTTGCAAGAAGAAATCTATATGGAGCAACCTCCTAGGTTTGTTGCTCAGGGGGAGTCTTCTGGGATGATATGTCGTCTTTACAGATCCCTATATGGCCTAAAACAGTCTCCTAGGGCCTGGTTTGGAAAGTTTAGCAAGGTTGTTCAACAATTTGGTATGACTCGGTGTGAAGCAGATCACTCTATCTTTTAATGACACTTGAGTGTTAGATATGTTTACTTGATAGTATATGTTGATAACATCGTTCTTATAGGTAGTGACAACCATGACATCTCTCAGTTGAAACAACATCTCTATCACCATTTTCAGACCAAAGATCTTGGTAAACTTAAATATTTCTTGGGTATTGAGGTGACACAGTCCAATTATGGTATTATTATATCTCAGAGGAAATATGCCATAGATATTTTGGAGGAAACTAGGTTGATGAGTTCAAAGTCTGTTGATACACCCATGGATCCCAATACTAAACTTCTACCAAATCAGGGAGAGCTTATACCTGATCCTGAGCAGTATAGAAGATTGGTTGGAAAATTGAATTATCTTACAGTTACTCGTCCTGACATTTCCTTTGCAGTCAGTATGGTAAGTCAATTTCTTAATTCCCCATGTGAAGATCATTGGAATGCAATCATTCGTATCTTGAAGTATATTAAAGGATCTTTTGGAAAAGGAT